GACAAGTTGTCGGGCCCTTCCTTTTCGACAACAGATTAACGGGTACAGAATACATGAATTTTTTGATCGGGCACTTGCCTTTGCTTTTGGAGGATGTCAACCTGCAAACTCGGATGCATATGTACTTTCAAGATGACGGCGCACCTGCGCACTATAATAATTGTGTGCGTAACTATTTAGACACCTGGAGCAACAATCTTTGGATCGGTCGTGATGGGCCTATATCTTGGCCTCCACCAGATATGACACCGATCGACTTCTTTCATCAGGCTACGTTAAGCAAGAGGTTTATAGATATCCACCATCGACCCCGGAAAATATGAAGGAAATGATTAAGGATGCTTTTATGAACATAAGTTAACACATGCTGAGGGATGTGCAATGGTCATTTATCCAAAGACTACGGCTGTGTATTCAATACGATTGAGACATTTTCGAGCAGTTTTTGTAGATTTATACAGTACTGATTGTTATTAGTTTTTACGTCAAATCTGTACTCCTACTTTTGGTGTGTTGTTCTATTAAAAGCTTAATAACCCAAAATCTAGTGATTTTATCTGAATCAAACCTTATACCAAAAATAAGCATATAAAAGATTGAATCCAAACTTGCACAAATATGCAGGGTGATGCTTTGAAATTTTTTAGAAAAAGTACAATTCGCGTTTTTGACCACCATGTATGAGCAAAAATTAAAATTTGAAAAAGTAACAAATAAGATAAAAGCTAAGGTTTTTTTGATACAAAATTCAACACTCCAGATTTCAAAATGGCGGATTGAGGGGTTGCCGAAGTGGACGGTTTTTCTGGACTAAATACCTTACATCTCAGTAACTAATTACCAAAACTCCATAGTGTGTTATATCAACATTCTTCTTCTGAATTGGTTTGTCCAAATATGCAATAAAATTTGAGGCATTCCATCTAATAAATCAGAACTTTGATATGTAGGTCGAAATCGGGACACCCTGTATAATTGCCAGTATTTTAGAAGTGTCCCCTCAAATGTCATGTATAACATGTCATAAATAGATTTTTCCAAAAGTATTTGTTTATGAGTAATATTCCGTCCACACATGGTTGGCCACCCTGTAGATGTACCCTCGTAATATAGCTTTCATAGGAAACAGCAAAAATATGAAACCCGTGTCGCTTACGGACCGAGAACATCAGTTGATTGCTTATGCCGATGATATAGCAATAACATAACGAGACCGAAATCAGAACTATACTAAGTGACATATAAATCCGAACACCCAGTTTAAATGGTTTTATTTTAATAAAAGTTGGTGAATGTATTTCTCTTACTGTAAATAACAAGTGAAAAAATTTTCAGCCTTATCAGTTGGACATTCCGGTTTTTATACTGTTTTTTTTTTAATTCACTAACGCTCTAAAAATGAATATTTCAGCCGCAGTAAAGAATCAACGTTGGCGGATTTTGGTTCTTGACATCCTTTACGATCGGTTACGATGCCTAGAGTACGGAGACCTGTACGATTTCGTCAACTTAGTGAGTTTGATAGGGGTCGTATAGTGGGACTTCGGGAAGCTGGACTTTCTTTTCGGGCAATTGCAGTTAGAGTGCAAAGAAGTGTAGACACTGTGGTTAGGTGTTGTCAGGCATGGATTCGAGAAGGCCGTACGCAAAGAGCAAGGGGCACTGGACGCCGCCGTAGAACAACAGACCGTGAAGATCGCCGCCTAAGATTATTGGCCTTAAGGGACCGTTTCTCCACTACCAGGTCCGTTGCAAATGAATGGTTTGCAGAACACGGAAGACCTATTGGCATGCGAAGTGTTTACCGACGAATGAGAAATTTTGGCTTGTTTTCATATCGGCCACACTGGGTCCTCCCTTTAACTCTGAGATCAGGAATGGAACAGTATTGTCTTTAGTGACGAGTCTCGATTTTGTTTAGGCATGCACGATGGTCGTGCCAGGGTTAGAAGGCGACGTGGTGAAAGGTGGAATCCACAGTTTTTGTTGAAAGACATGTTCATCACACTGTTGGAGTTATGGTTTGGGGTACTATAGCTCATGGTTCCAGGTCACCTTTAATCTTCATCAGAGGTAACATGAACGCGCAGCGTTATATCCACGAAGTTCTAGAACCCCATCTTTTACCCTATCTTGACACCCTGGCAGATCCAACTTTCCAACAAGATAATGCCCGACCACTTGTTGCAAGAGTCACAATAGACTTCTTTCAACATAATGATGTCACATTGTTACCATGGCCACCAAGATCTCCCGAATCATCCCCAATTGAGCACGTGTGGTATATGATGGGTAGGAGATTGCTCAATTTGCAACGTCCTCCTCAGACTTTAGAAGCACTTCGAGAGGAGTTGGTGGTTGCCTGGAATGAGATACCACAGGAGGACATTGACCACCTGATCAGAAGCATGCCTAGGCGCGTTGGAGAATGCGTAGCACATCAGGGTGCATCCAGACATTATTAAAGGTCAAAGGGCTTTAAAGCAGTGCAGTCATTTTGAAATTTTTATCATTTACTTATTATGCTTCATTAAGTACTTATACAAAATTTTATTAAAATAAAACCATTTAAACTGGGTGTTCGGATTTATATGTCACTTAGTATATAAAGGATGTTTAAAATATTAGAAGACAGTGCCAAACGGCTTGCGCTTTATATAAATGACAACAATTCAATGTACCGAGAAATGAGAGGAAATTATGAAAGGAAAATAAAAATGAAAACAATAACAGACAATATTGATTCGAGAAGGCGAACCATTTCAAACGCTTATGAGTAACAAATACAAATAAAGCAGAGGTGGGCTTAGACATCGGAAAAAAGGTAGCAAAACAAAAGCTCACAATATCAAGGAAGACATCGAAATGATACAGGGTGTACAAGTAAACAACAAAACTGGGGTGCCACAGGGATCGATACTGGGTCCATTGCTTTACATCATTTTCGCGAATGATTTCAATCGTGATGGTTATCAAGTATGCGGATGACATATCCCTCCTTATCAGCTCATTCCCCCTCTCTCAGCTAATTTGAACAGCAAATGATGCATTCAATAGAATACATAACTGGTTCAGACTACGATAGCAGTCTTTTAATAAAATCGCAAACAATCAAATGATCTAAAATTCCTCGGTATTCATATGGCTGGTAACTGTAAAAGGGTATTGCAAGTAGGCACAATATGAAAGAAACTACTACCAGTAGTTTACTGTATAGCTAAAATATGTTGTAGATAGATCCGTGATAGTGACACACTAGTATTCTTACTTTCAAAGTAATATCTGGTATGTACATTAACATTAAATGAATGCTTATTGAAAGAGGTTATTACTCGGTTGATGATTACCTTTGTGATATTACCTTTTATCTCCTGATTAGCTTACTTATTGTATTATAATTACGACTCCTTACTTTTGTGCGAGTTTATGAACTTTGGTGTAGTTTTATGTGACTTTATGTGCTTCGTGTATATGAATTGTTATGATTTTATTAATGATTCTATGTATGAGTGATTCTATGTAGTTGTACTATGCTGTATCTAGTTGTTTTTAACTGTTTGTGAAGGTAAAATCTCAATTTGGTTGTTACTACTCTTGGTATAAAATCTTTGAAGTATTCTACATCATGTATATGATCACCGAATAAAGAGTATTGTTATAGAAAAGGAAAGTAAAATAGACGACCTATACCCTATTCGTAGTCCATTTACGCTCCGGCACAACAAAGATGCAGCGCGGCAAAGCGGAAGCCGCCTAAGCGTGTCAACAGGTGTTGGTCAATCGGCCATAAAACCACGAACAATTGCAGGATTCGACAGGATGGAACTCAGGCTCGGGGTAACGCCGGCACGCCGACGCCGGCTGTTGCTCTTCATATTCGGTGCATACATAGCGTATAAACGTTAGCATGTCGTCTATAAATTAATTTTATAAGCTGTCAACAAAGTGACGGCAAACCTTTGGAAAAATTTCATCTGTCACGTTCAGGAGACAATCGAAAGAAAGATGTGGGATCTGGACAGTATGATCGATATTGTAGTTGTATTCGCTTATTTCACTAGTCTAATGGGATCGCCGTGACTGAGTGATTCAAATGTTTGCCTAGAATTCGGGAGGTGGTGAGTTAAAATTCCAATGTGGCTAGTTTTCCTTTCTATTTTTACTATCTCATATTTCAAGCCAACTGTCAAGTAATAACTATAGGAAAAGCTTGTGGTTCACCTGCATTCTTGACAAAAGAGTCTGCGACATCTCAAATTATTGGTTACTTCCTCCATCGCTACTTAAGAGGCATTGTAACTTCATCTATTACTGCTATTACAGTCAACCCGTTTAGCTATGTTAACGATCCGACTTTTCCCTATTTACAAAATAATTAATATTAGCCATTCGGACGACGATTCCAGTACTTCCAACGAATAAACTATTGTGAAAAGTATGTGCACTTCTTTCTATAAGAATAATCATTTACTTTGTTAGATTATTCCAAGACCATTGAGGCAAATACGGATCTGTACAATCTCGCGTTTGGGCATGTTGTGTTTTGTCTGTGCGTAGATGGTATACGAATGGGGTATAGGCTCCGACACACTAAAGTAGACGGAGAAAACCGAGGAAGACCGTTTTCTGCATTCTTCCAGCTAAGACGTTTGCCGATGCTCGGCATACCGGTATGGATTTAATTGCAGATAGCAGTGTATTCTTCATCCCACACAAGGATGAGACATGACTAGCAGACTGACAATGGATCTGGCCAGAGCCTGCGAAGCTGATTGAGCAACTCCTGATATTTAGTCCGTTTTTTGAGACCATGTTCGCTTCGCCCGGAGCTGCAAAGTCATCAACGAACATCGTCTTCTATTTGTGGTCGAGAAGGACTACGTCGGGCTTATTCACCTGTACTAGCTAGACCGTTCCAGTAGTTTAGTTGTAAAGTCTAACATATCTATCTCACTGTTGATGAGTTTATTGTATTTAATCAGTTTTCTTCGTAATTGCAGATAATGCAGAAGCCTGTTCTGCCGTTATCTCTTTTGAACGACCTGAGATGCGTGCATTGTGAGAAATTTGTTAGCTGCGGACCTGTCTATGTGGTAACTCCAAGTAAAACTATACTGTGTGGAAGGTGAGTTCAGGAAGTCGCATCCATTAAAATCCGTTTTGATGGCCAATATACAGGGTGCCCGCAAAGTTGGGGTTTTCCTTTTCAGAAACAACTACCCTTGAAATGACAAAGGTAATGTGTAGTGAAACGAGGGCGACCAAGTAAAAAAAAAATAAAGGAAAAAGTACTCACTCTCCAGTTGACGAGAAGGGCTAAGTACGTCTCTGCCCGAAATCATACCGCTCCAACAGAAACTGAAATCAGCTGATGCGCTACCGGGCAGACGCAGAAACCACATTGATTGTCTTACACTTAATGGTACATCTTCTAACAAGGAAGGCAAAATGTTGCGTAAAAATTCTAGGTATTGCTGCCAGCCCAAACATTTACCGAAAATGTTTGTTAAAAATGTGCGGATTTTCTACTGACCAAACATGAGTGTTGCGAAAGTTATTCACCCCATTACGCGTGAACGTAGATTCGTCTGTCACCAATATGCACTTCAAAAAGTCCGGATTATTGTCATGTTGATGCAACAACCACTCACAAAACCGCACTATTGCTGGAAAATCGTCAGGTTGCAGGGCTTGTACACGTTGGACGTGAAACGGATACAGCCCCTCTTCACGCAGCGTTTGCCACACTTTAGTTTTTGATACTTGCACTTCTCTAGCCACGTCTCTAGTGCTTGTTGAGGGATTCTCGTCTACGCGATTACCTCTGCACGCGAGACCGTAACCGTCGGATGCAGGTTGCATACTGACCTGACACAGTGACCCCGACCCAGTTCTGTCGTCGGGTTAAGCCAGTGACCTTGTACCAATCGGTGATGTCGCGGGTCGCGGCTACAGGACGGTATTCAGATATTTTTGATGTTGCAGAGCCCTTTATCTCGGTTCCCTTAAGACATTGGTGTATATGGTACTAAGAAAAATTGCTTATGTTTTCAAGATCTACACGTCGTGTAAAGTAAAACCCCAACTTTGCGGACATCCTGTATACTAAGTGACATATAAACTGCAACACTCAGAATTATTTATTGAATTTTGATAAAAACTTGTAAACATATTTATAAGCATACAGGGATGTTTTTTTGGATACATGCACCGATCTCAACAAAAATAGCAAATTAACCTGTCGCCAGCTAGCTTCTGACGCAAGCATAATCAAATGACTGGAGGCTGGAGACAAATTGTGCAAGCCTATTTGACTGACTTGACCCATTTATTTTTTTTGTGCCCATGTGTACTGAAAAAATGAAAATTCTCTTTTCAAACGCGTACCCTCTAGTTTTGCTTGAACAACCTCAAAACAATTGTAAATAAAGTTTTATGTACTTAGAGCCAGGGCAACCCGTGCCGAGTTGCGTTAGAACATGTCAAAACTTGTATATTATACGCGCGCTATCTAACGTGTTGCAGTGCTGTTCATTCTATTAGTAAACGCACTGGTTTCGTTCAATCAACATATAGAAGGAATTACGCAGTTCTAAAAAGAGGACATTTTTAATAGCTTTGAACATAAAGCAACAAATTCCCTGTAATGGACAAGTACTAGCAGCTTTGTTGTATAACATGCGGGAAGTGAAATTCAGTGTCAACGAGAGTGCCAACCTTACTATTCATGAGTGCATTATTTACTGGAAAAAGGCACGTATACCAACTAAGTCCCTGCCTAATTGTGTTAAGAAGCTAGTTACCTTACACCAAGTTTGTAGAGATTTGCAAAAAATGCAATCAAAACACAAGAAGTGTTTGAGCAACGTCGACAAGAATTGAACAATTTGTTTGATATTGCGCATGCTGATACCCTACAATTGAAGACTTGGATTAAATAATGTGCTAAGTGTCAAAATTATTATTTTGAGATAAACAATATTTTGTGTTCTACAATCAATGTATTAAAATTAAACATATAATGTTTATTCAAGTAAATATTTTTCTGTGTACTTAATATTATCGGGAACTTTTTGTTAAAAATAGCAGAGAGAAATTATATCAGCTACAAAATCGTAGAATGTGCTAAGTAACATTACAAAAATATAAATATTGTGGTAAATAATAACGAAAGAAACATAAAAAATTCAACTTCTAATGAATATACTTGTATATTCAATGTATCTTCATAAAATTGTCTAGTTTCTTCCTTCAAATAAGGAATCATTGCCAGCAGACCTTGTTAGTTTTTCTTTCTTCAGAAAATCTACTTTGGCAGGTCAGGTTTGGAAGAGTCATTTTTGCGATAGTTTCAATAGTAACGTTTTTCTTCAAAATCTCCGTTGTTTTCCAATGTTCTATTTCGTCCAGAGTTTCTCGGATGCTGATGAATCCTGGATTTTCTCGTCTAATATTGATCCTCTGCGCCTTCGAAAATTGAATCTTAGATGTATTGATTGAGCTTTCAGAAGCAAATTTAAAATTGAAAAAGTCATCATGGTTCGTGATTGTAACAAAAAGTGGTGTTTTTTTCACTGCCGGTATCATCATTCTTACCAAATCCATAGGTACAAAAATAGACGATCGAAGTTGCACATACCTCCTTCATCTTCTGCCCTCCAAATATACCGAATTGCAATCTCGCATAAGCGCCTGAGGTGATTCAATAATACTCTATGACATGTCAAACTACGCATTCAAATCAATGAAATTAAAAGTAGGGAACCCCTTCAGATAAACCATCCGCATGTAACCCTTCTTCCTTTTATTGGGATATCTTGGTAACCTCCAGGCAGCAAATCATAAAAAAATCCTATTGTATACCGGCATGTGTGTTGGTGTATTTATCCAGTTGAAGGGTGTATGTAAAGCTGGACATACACGTTAATAATATGCATATCAGCCTGGTTTCGAATTATGATTATTCAGATTCATGAGTCAGCCACAATATGATCTGTATGAATATTTTGGTGAACAAATCATAATCAACTGTCTCTACCCACACTCCGGCGATACACGACGCGAATCCTTACCGAAAATTATCAGCGTTTGAAAAACTTCATTCCAGTCTTTAATTTCTTACCTTTCGTCTTTCACTCATAAGCAATTGGTCCATAAAATGCTCAAGTTAATGATTCCTTTATTACCAACGACAGATTTGAGAGTGGAAGAATTTGCGGCGATTTTTAATATACATATATATAATGATAAATCATCTTTCCTATTTTTAAATCGTCAGAACACAAGAGTTGAAAATATGTAATACAGGTATACACACTCCTTAAAGTGTCTGGTTGAGCAGTATATCAATCTACAGGAAACAATTACTATCGCGAAATCAACCACAAGAGTGGCTCCTACAAATCACTTTTAAGGGCACACTTAAAATTTCCGTCCTAAACTAGGAAGTCACATATGAATAAAATTAACAAATCATAACTGATCATAATTGTTTGTATTAGGATTGCGAGGATTTCTGGTAAAGCAAAAATTCTATATACTTGGATTTCTGCTTAAAGTGGCTGAACCTAGCAGTATGTCTACAAAGTAAGGAGCATGTAGACCAGAATGCAGTTTTGTATAGACACAGAAAGTGGTTAAACTGAATACTGGTGAAATACTCTTCAGAGCTGATGAAATTAGTTGTAAGAAAGATAAATAGCCAGCGCTAATTTCGTAAAGTAAACGTTTCTCATATTTGCATTTTAGACGAGAATGTTCAGTTTCCAAACGTAACTATATTCGGCAGCCTAGCACTTACGGCTTGTCTATTCAATACCAAACATCCGACCTACCATGCCAGAATTAATCAAACAACCTGCTTCTCCCGGAATATTGAAATTTGAAGGAAATATTTTGCTTTTGGAAAGCCTGGATATATATTAAAAATAAAGATGTAATCTGCTTTGAAAGTCACACCATATTGAGAATTTAAATAAACCTGCACCTCATCAACAGCAATAGCCCACCGCCATTGGAGACAACTCTCAACCAAGCAACGCGCCTCTATAGAATGCGGTTCCATTTATCTATAATTTATTGCTCGGACAATACCTTCCATTTTCAGTAATGCTTTTTAGACTGTCTTCGACGCTAATACAACGTTGCAATTCAGTATTTTGGGAGGCCAGAAGATGAAAGAGGTATGTGCAACTTCGATCGCTTATTTTTGTACCTCGCATTTCACTTGTCTTTTTCGCTTTTCAATTTGGGCGAAATCCCTGTCGCAGCTCATAAAAGAATGACACGACTCTAGATATTTTTTAATGATCTCATCGAAATACCCCTTGGAAACTAAATAAATCCCTAAAAACAATAACATTTACAAATATATAATTTATTTATATAAATATAGAGGGTTGTATTTATGGGCGTAAAAGCGTAAAAGAAGAAAAGGCGCGTTTCAGGAACACCGAAGAACAACAGCGGCAGGCTAAATATACTAAGTGACATATAAATCCGAACACCCAGTTCAAATGGTTTCATTTTAATAAAATTTTGTATAAGTACTTAATGAAGCATAATAAGTAAATGATAAAAATTTCAAAATGATTGCACTGCTTTAAAGCCCTTTGACCTTTAATAATGTGTGGATGCACCCTGATGTGCTACGCATTCTCCAACGCGCCTAGGCATGCTTCTGATCAGGTGGTCAATGTCCTCCTGTGGTATCTCATTCCAGGCAACCACCAACTCCTCTCGAAGTGCTTCTAGAGTCTGAGGAGGACGTTGCAAATTGAGCAATCCCTACCGATCATATCCCACACGTGCTCAATTGGGGATAAGTCGGGAGATCTTGGTGGCCATGATAACAATGTGACATCATTATGTTGAAAGAAGTCTATTGTGACTCTTGCAACATGTGGTCGGGCATTGTCTTGTTGGAAAGTTGGATATACCAGGGTGTCAAGATAGGGTAAAAGATGGGGTTCTAGAACTTCGTAGATATAACGCTGCGCGTTCATGTTACCTCTGATGAAGATTAAAGGTGACCTGGAGCCATAAGCTATAGCACCTCAAACCATAACTCCAACAGTGTGACGAACATGTCTTTCAACAAAAAACTGTGGATTCCTCCTTTCACCACGTCGCCTTCTAACCCTGGCACGACCATCGTGCATGCCTAAACAAAATCGAGACTCGTCACTAAAGACAATACTGTTCCATTCCTGATCCCAAAGTGACCGTTGTCTGCACCACTCAAGGCGATTACGTCGGTGGTCTCGAGTTAAAGGGAGGACCCAGTGTGGCCGGTATGAAAACAAGCCAAAACTTCTCATTCGTCGGTAAACACTTCGCATGCCAATAGGTCTTCCGTGTTCTGCAAACCATTCATTTGCAATGGACCTGGTAGTGGAGAAACGGTCCCTTAAGGCCAATAATCTTAGGCCGCGATCTTCACGGTCTGTTGTTCTACGGCGGCGTCCAGTGCCCCTTGCTCTTTGCGTACGGCCTTCTCGAAGCCATGCCTGACAACACCTAACCGTAATGTCTACACTTCTTTGCACTCTAACTGCAATTGCCCGAAAAGAAAGTCCAGCTTCCCGAAGTCCCACTATATGGCCCCTATCAAACTCACTAAGTTGACGAAATCGTACAGGTCTCCGTACTCTAGGCATCGTAACCGATCGTAAAGGATGTCAAGAACCAAAATCCGCCAACGTTGATTCTTTACTGCGGCTGAAATATTCATTTTTAGAGCGTTAGTGAATTAAAAAAAAGCAGTATAAGAACCGGAATGTCCAACTGATAAGGCTGAAAATTTTTTCACTTGTTATTTACAGTAAGATAAATACATTCACCAGCTTTTATTAAAATAAAACCATTTGAACTGCGTGTTCGGATTTATATGTCACTTAGTATATGTTGCTTCCTTAACTCCTCCGACATCGTCTTACGAACCAGTACAAGACAATTCATCTTCAAATTCCGAGTTAGATTTAGAAGAAACTTTGCCTGTCCCAACTCAGAGCACACAGGTTGATACAAATCAAACTCAAATTAGTGGCAGCATTCGATAGGTGTCGGTTAAGAATAAGAAATACTGTTTTTATTATTGACGTAGCAATTAGGCCACTTGGACATAACACTGTCGAGTTTTCTATGAGCAAGTCCTCCATTCAAAGAATTCGTACCGAAAAGCAAATGGAAAAAATTAGAGAATATGCGTGTCTGAATTACGACAAACGTTTGTTAGGCTGGGACATCCTAATCTGCATAGTTAACTTTTTCCTAAGAGGGGATAGCTTGTGCCAAACTCAATATTTAAAGAACTGATGACGTTGCGTGGGGAGTGCAGAGTCGACCTACTTAACTCCATTTTTGATCAAACTCAGAACTATTCTACGCCATAGAAATAAACTTCTGTGCTTTTCAGATGCCGCATGTTTGCAAAGCCTGTATACCGCAATGTGTCTTACGAAGCGTTGGCTTCGATGTTCCAGTACAACTGCAACAACTGGGAAGTGCACTGTCCGAAAATTTTGTTTTGGAACGAGAGCAGAAACCACGAGGATGAATGCACATATGGCACCTTCTGCAGTCGGTTCTGGAGACATCCCTGTACGTGTTGCAGAAGCCGGAGAGATATCCCACTAGGCGGTACGTTATCATATCCGTTGTTTATCTTTGTGATAGAAAATCGATATCAATAAGATTATTATCGGATGGAGCATCACTTATTGTTGGAGGAATGGAACGGACAAATTACTGTTTTATTGCCCCTTCGCAGAAATGCGTACACGTATTCACAGTTATGCTACGTAGCAAATCACAGTTCAGTGCTCCCAAGTCCAATCATCGGCGTTATCAGATGCGATTTATAAATGCTTCACCCTTCTCTAACTGCCTGACAAAGCCTGATAATAATAATAATAATAATTAACGTCTTTTATTTGTAGTATTCTTACAGGAGGCGAGATTTAGAATATATATCTATTCGACCATCTAACCCCCTTAACAATACGATATGTAAAAAAAAACAAAATTTGTTGAAAATTAATACCTGTATGTATACAATAACGACAGAATAAAGTATAATCTAAGTAAAGGCATAAGGAAAATTTGAGGCCACTTATGGGTTACAACAGACTTCGCTGCTGATCAACTAGAACTTCATTCACTTTTTTCTTAAATTTGAGTAGTGGATTGGGTTCTTTTAAACTGCGCTCTAAGGAATTATATGATTTGATTGCATTGTAAATATATGTATTCTGGAATATAGATGTGATGTGGTGTGGAATTGAAAAAGTCTCTTTATATCTAATATTAATGCCATGCATATTCCCTTTACGTATGAATTTGTTTACTAAATATGACGATGTTTTTGAATAAAGAACCAGATTTAGGAACTGGTACATGTTATCAATTTTCATCCATTTTAATATATAAATTATAATCTTACGCAGATCATTAGTGAACCTGCACGCATTTCTGGAACGGTTTGTACTCTGCTTGATGCGATATTTGTCACTAACTTGTCGATAGTGGCTAGGTCTAGGGTTTTATCGGCGGATAATATTTCAGATCATAAATTGATTTACTGCAATCTTAATGTTTCAAAGGAAAGTAAATCACCTAAAATAATAAAACATCGTCCTTTTAAAAATTTTAACCTGAATAATTTTATAGCAGATATGCAATGTTTGTCGTGGAATAATATATTATATGAGAATGATATTGATAGTAAAATAACTATTTTAAATAATCTAATTTTTACATTGTTTAGTAAGCATGCACCAATAAAAGAATCACTAATAACAAAACCAAAAGCGCCTTGGTTAACTAACAATATTAAATTATTTATGAAACAAAGAGATGCAGCACTGCAAAAATTTTAAAAATCAAAGCGTCAATCAGACTGGGTAGATTATAAACATTTAAGAAATTTTACTTTTTCGTTGATAAGAAAAGAGAATAAGGGATACATAGAATCTTTTGAAGGTAACTCCAAAAAACTGTGGTCAGTTTTAAAAAGTTTTAATGTTTGTTCTACAAAAAATAATTAAATTGCCCAGTCTTTATCAGAACCTAATGATATTAATAGCTTTCTTGCTGCTTTTCTACAAAATAAATCTAACTGTTCGGAAGAAATTAAATTTTATGAAAACAATGCCTTTAAAAATAACTTAACCTTTAACTTTAAATTAACAGAAATAACAAATATAAACAAAGTTTCAAACAACATATAATGTAATGCAACCGGGATAGATGATATTTCGCCCTTAATGTTAAAATATTGTAGTCCGTACATAGATAAGTATATAACACATATTATAAACTGTCCCTTTGAAACAAGCTACTTTTGCGACAAGTGGAAAATCTCCATAGGAAAACGATTACCAAAAATAACTAATCCATCAAGTTTTAACGTGTGATAAATATACTTCCAGCTTTGTCAACGATATTTGAAAGAGTGCTGTACGAACAAATTTATGATTTTTGTGAGTAACAATATTATTCCTGGTACTCAGTGTGGTTTTCGAAAAATTTTAGCACATCAGTGGCTCTAAAAAACGTACTCGATGACATATTAAGAGCAAATGATAAAAAGATGAGTTCAGTTTTGGTACTTCTAGACTTTTCAAAAGCTTTTGATACCATTAATCATGAATTTGTTGGTAGCTAAACTTCAGTACTATGGCTTTAATAAGGAAGCATTTTTGCTTTTAAAATCATGTTTGACAGGAACGTATCAATCGATTCTATCAAATGACACATTCTCATTCAAAGCGGAGATCCTATCGGGAGTTCCTCAGGGATCAATATTGGGCCCCTTGTTATTTTTAATTTATACATCTGATATCCTTACGTCTTTAAAGTTTTGTAAAGTTCAGGCCTTCGCGGATGAAACCCAGGTTTATTGTTTTTTTGATATTGAGGATTCCAAATATTACCAAAATTGTATAAATGAGGACATAAACATCTTGAACAATCTGTCACTAGGTCACAACTTAAAACTTAATCCGGAAAAATCGCATGTAATGATTTTTGGTAACAAATCTAAGACTGAGTTTTTGAAAACTTATCTCAATATAATGGCTAATAATTCAAAATTGAATTTTGTTGAAAGTACAATAAATCTCGCTATAGTTTTCGATTCTCAGCTTAGATTTAAAGATCACCTCAAAAATCTTATCCAAACATCGTTTTGTTCTCTAAAAGTTTTGTATAATAACAGACGCATACTAAACAAATCACTAAAAAAAGTGTGTGAATCCCCAATTCTTTCCAATTTCAATTATTGCGATTTTGTCTATAGGTTTTGCTTAGATCAGGCAAGTAGAGGTCGGATTCCGAAGGTGCAAAATGCGTGCCTCAGGTTTATCTATGGTCTGCGTAGGTTTGATCATATATCTCATTTGTACATGTATAAAGAAATTAAATGGCTTAAAATGAATAGAGCGTCGTACTCTCCATTTTTCTAGTCTTTTATTAAAATTATAAACACTCCAGGTTCACCTGAATGTATAATAGAACACTTAATTTTCCGACATTCTGTTCATGATATAAATGTAAGATATTTAAAAAAAATGTTATGTATGTTATTTTGTATAACTGTTACAATTTTATACTTTTAACTCACGAAACATTGAATAGCCTTCACTTATATATGTTATATACATCATATTTTTATACACCTACATTTTTAAACTTCTAACCTATCAAATGTATTTATGTTTTTTGTATTGTTTTTTCAGTTTTTCTTGTTTTTCTTGGAGGGGGGGGGGGTTGAGTGGCAGAGTAGCATTATGCTAAACTTCGCACCCTAAATAAAGACGATTTATTATTATTATTATTATTATTATTCTTGTTTTAGATATCAGGCTAGTGCCTATCTTCGAACCACTACTGGACTATATAAGGTGCGTCAGCTGCAATTACTTCCTGTCTTGCGAACCGGTGTATATTCTACCGAATGGCAAAAATGTCTGCCATCGCTGCATCCACGCCAATGGATTCCCACCCAATGGTATTCATAACGTCTTCTACGAAACTCTGGCAAACATTGTGATCTTTCCCTGTATATTCCGAGGCCGTGGATGTCCTACCATGCTCAAGTTCGGTAAGGATCTTTGGGAGCATGAAACCCAATGCTCCTACAATACGTCATTCGCCAAGGCGCAAAAGTCGCAGCAACAGGAAAGGAACAAGGAGCGTGGTGTGATACAAACACACTCTGGACATCATTTTGGTGAGTATTTAATTGCATCTGCTAATTTGCTGCCTTTATCGCTCTATAAATGGGATGACCTACTCACTCGCTAACCTCGCTGTTAAGATCGACTTCCTGAACGTCAATCACCCCGCTTTAGAGGTAGTTCTTCATGGTAATTTCAATGCCCTTAATAAGCTCTGGTTGGGCTCAAACTGGACCGATGCTATGTTATAATCACAGAATTGTACATCAGTAAAGGTATGACTGATGAGAGAATCAAAATTTCTTACTAAACATTATAGAATTTGTAGTTGATTAATACAATGGAAAATGTTATGTAAAAAGTACCACCGTGAGAACAAGGCTTCAATCTATACCTAATCGCTTTCACTATTGAGGCTCGAAAAATGTAAAGATATGAACTTAGAAACTCAAAAAAATCAACAAATAAAGGCAGGAAACTGAACATAAACTCTAATAACTCAAAAATAAAATCCAGAAACTCAATGAATAATCTATGAAAACACGAATGAATAAATATTCTTGAAACAAAAGAAAATTAATAATCTGATGGTCAGTCAGGAGATGCGGAGGTATCGTCACTACTTGACCTCGAATTGTCGGAATTGTCACTGTCACAGTCGTCGTTGTTACCGAGGGTGATGATTATTGGTTTTATTGCTGTTTCTATGTGGTGATCTAGAACCGCTCCCTACGGTCCTCCTACCTCCACGGTCCTCGTCGTCGAAGATGTTTTACCAATCCTTATTCGGAATTTACGATGCTTCAAATAGGACTTCACCAGTTGGATCATCCCCGTTGAGTATCCGAGGTCTACCATCTTGTAGATCAGTCCGTCATGCCAAACCGTGTCGAACGCCTTAGCGGCATCCATGAACACAGCTCCCACGGCCCGCCGAATCTGAACGATTTCGTTGCCATCTCGACTAGCCTTAGGAACTGGTGCTCTGCTGAATGTTCGCTTCGGAATCCGAACTGTGCGTCTGGGACTACTCGGAGTTCTTCAGTTTCGTTCCTCAGTCTTCGTTCGATTACCCTTTCCGCAATCTTGCTCAGTGCCGTCAACAGGCTTATTTGTCTGTAGTTTTGGGAGAACCTTGGGTCTTTCCCAGGTGTTGGTATGTTGATCACTCACTCACAGTGTTCTGGAAAGTACCGGTGTCTCAGTATGGCGTTGACAATGTTGGTGATTGCCATTATCGCTTTCCTCGGGAGTCTCTTCAAGACTCTTTTCCCAATTTCTTCATCTTCGTCTTCATCGGGGTGAGTATTGAGAGTACACTGTCTCTGAAGGTTGTCAGAAAAAGCTTCTGTTTTCTCTTCGGTTGTGTACACCATCCCCTGTTAGCTGTGTATTGGGGGGATGGGCTGACTTCTGTTTCTGAGGAGTTTAGCCAAATTCTATATTCCTGGATCAGCTGGAGATAATTCTTCGAGTTTCTTATCCCAGATGCTCTGATGATGCTGCTTCAAGGCGTCTCTTGCCTGTCTTGTCAGTCTGTTTGCCACCATGATGTCCGTGGGGCTCCTGGTCTCCTGGGCTACTCTTCGGGCTCTATTTCTTTCGTTGATCTTGCGATTTACCTCGTCAGGTAGGTCCCTGAACCTGTTTGGTTGCGTTATGTCTTCCACGGTGGTTGCGGCTTCTAACGCAGCCTTAATCTTCCCCTCTAGGTCCGTGACCGCTTCTTTTATGTCTTCAGGGCTGTCAATCTGAAGTAGTGGTCCCTGTCTGATTCTAAATCGCTGCCAATCCACTCGCTTCACTGTTCTTTGTTCCACAGGTGTTCTCCCTTTTCCCAAATGAAGAAAGATGGGGTTGTGGTCTTAACTTCCCTTTTGCAATGCGCCGATGGTCGTGCGCAGGTCGATTTCTTTCAGATTCGCCATATCTATTACGTCTGGTCTTCCTCCGTTGCTGGGGTATATTGTGGGTTCGTCAGGACCTATCATGGTGTATCCAGGTTCATCCATTAGTCTTTCGAGAACAGTGCCATGACTGTTTCTATTTCTTGAGCCCCAAATGGTGGACTGCGCATTTAGATCACCTACGATCACGGTACTATTTCCCAGTGCAGTGATACAGGTGACATCTTCCAGATGAATCGTCGATGTAGGTGGTACGTATGTTCAGAGGGCCATGGTCGGTTGTGTGTACCGTCACTCCTACGGCCTCTGCAGATCTCAGTTCTGGCAGTCTCAGTTCCCAGTGGGTAATGCTGGTCTTGACAGCAAGCAGCTCCCCACCTCCGGTTCTGTCATTAAGTACTTATACAAAATTTTATTAAAATAAAACCATTTAAACTGGGTGTTCGGATTTATATGTCACTTAGTATATGTTCCAATAAAGACCTTTTATTATTATTATTATGATATTATGGCGCTCTGAAGACAAAGCGCATTTATTTGATTTTGCTTACAGGTACGCTGTCGCCCAATAATGTACCAATGGCTCCTCCAAGAAAGGATAGCGACTTTGACTTGCAGAAGCAACTGGTCAAATCCATAAAGAAGCAACAGGAAAGGCGGCATCTCAGGGCAGAAGAAATAGAATCGCAATTTGATAGGAGATCTGTAGATACTGATGGATCACACAAGAGCATTGATGACAAGGGGTCTTCCAGTCGGGCAAGCACTTTGTCCAGGTATGGAGTATAATGGTCCTAGTAATAGGGGGTAGGGCATTATCGGTCACATCGGGAACATGATATATAGTTTCCAAGTACAGACTCTATAACGTCTTGTCTAGCAGAAGACAGTTATATATCAATAAGCAAGTTACAGATTACAGAAGAAATCCCCTACATACTTTTGAAAGCACTCTGTGCAGCCTTGATCCTTTAATAAGGCTCCATAGCCTTGACATAAGGTCTTGCAAGAACTCTCCGCTGTTGGACCTGTAGTTCTCACTATCTGAATCCGAAGCCTGGCCAGGCCTTCGCAGTGACAGAGTTGTACTGGGGTTTCCTCATGCTCTTTGCCTTGGCCTCTTCTGCCAGATCCAAGAGCCTCATATGACGATATACACGATAGTGCCTTGTCAGGAGACCCACTATGACCTTATGGCCTTCCTATTTCGTTCTTCGATTAACTGTTTTGTCTACCTTTGCCCCAATTAGCTGTTCCACCATTCTAAGGAGTTTGTTTTGATCCAATTTCCTATGGACTATTTAGCGAGTATTCTAGTCACGCCACAGACAGGCTCTGGGCCTATAAGGCAAGTGCTTGAGCAGATGGTGATCTTTCAGCCTGAAATATTGTTGTAATATTACCTCCACTTATATATAATCTAATCTAGAAAGTTTCTAAATTGGGTAATTAACAAATAAATGGCATTAAGTTTTTCTAAGTTGAGCCAACATTTGTAGTCAGTAAGTAAGTTTCATTAAATTGAATATTTAAAACACACATGACAATAGCGCGTCGGTCATCATCACTCTTATCGAACCGGCAATCGATCGCAAACGCTAACAGTGGTTAGTATGTTGTTTTGTTTTTGTTCGCGTACGTCGTCGTGTTGATTGATTTACAATGTTCTCGAATCAAGAGTTCGCTGACATGCTGTTAGTTTACGGTGAAGCTCGTCAGAATTCAAACCTTGCAGCTCAAATTTATCGCGAACGATTTCGCCAACGGGCACATCCAGACAGAAGGACATTTGTGCAAGTGTACCAAAGAGTTCCAGATTCAGGAAGTGTTCAGCTCACTAATATTCGCACTCCTGAAAGACAGGTTACTGTAGAGCAGAGGAACAAATTTTAAATATCGTGGAAATCAATGCGGATATCAGCAACCGGAAATTAGGTCGCCGCGTAGGACTATCGCATACCATAGTCTGTAGAATCCTATGGAAAATTTTGCTTTATCTTTGCACAAAAATATTGAAAATCCGGATTTTTTTAAAAACATTCTAGCGACGGACGAATGTACTTTTACGCGAGACGGGTTATTAAATTTCTATAATACTCACACGTAGGCCCAAGAAAATCCTCATACCATTCGTGAAGGTCATTTCCAACAACGTTTTAAAACAAATATTTGGGCGGGTATTCTTGACGATCAGGTAATTGGCCCATTCGAGTTACCCCCAAAGTTGTCAGGAGAATACCTTAGCTTTCTAGCCAATAACCTACCAGACCTTTTGGAATTTTGGAACAAACCTTAGACAACATAATTTGTGGTTTCTTAATGACCGGGCACCACCACACATTTTTAGAGGCGTCATTCAGTATTTGAATGAACATTATCCAAATCGCTGGATCTGTCGAAATGCTCCTGATCCTCGAAAATGGCCAGCAAGATCTCCTGACCTCAATCCGATGGATTTCTGGTATTAAAGCGATGGTTTATAGCGAACTACAATTGTAGGAACGACTGACGATACGGCCCTTCTAAGTGGAAATTATTAACCAACACTAATGAAAGACATCCGAAGTTTTGTTTGTGATAATACGCTCAAGTTTTCGAACGCGGTCAAATTAGGTAACTCTTGGAGCCGCAGAGGATGCTTATAAAATAGAGTGAGCCACAGTTTTTGTGTGTATCAAATACTGTTGCGCGCAAATGCTCATTTCATCAACACCGCAGACATTCTTTTTGCATAGTTTGTATTTTTATATTATGGCAGCATAACTCAAAGGTAATCTCCCTCTTCGGGAGTGGTAGGAAAGAGGATGCCCTAACACAACTTGAAAGTTAAATATACAAAAAATTGACAGTCGACACCGTTTTCCACTCTCATACATTTTTTCTTGATTTGTAAATTGTCAACATCATTTATTTAAGGGGATTTTTCACGACCCGTATTTATATGGACCGTTCGTGCTATTTTTGATCCTACCTTTTGTCTTATCAGTACTGCCAAATATTTTTGAGTCATATTTTCAGGCATGAGGAAGAAGAAATCCAGAAGCACTTCGCCTTCCTAGACCGTCCAGAATCCACAGATTCTGGATTATCTATCTATTCCATACCCAGCGACGACCCGAAGAATCGCACCCTTGCCGGTAAAAACCCATACCAATTTGAACGTGCAATAGGCAGATCGGAAAGCATTCTGAGCAGTAGAGAACTTTTAGCTGAATTGAAGGTTAAACAGCACCGATTGAGGAGAACGCACCTTTAGTGGAACCACCGCAGCATTAAGACAATCATTCTTTGGAACAGTTATAGACTGACAACAATGCAAAACGCAATACCATGTAAACTAATAGTGCTGTACTAGGGTCGTCTGAAAAGTTTCCGACCTAACAAAAATATAAGATATAGTACAAGACATTTTTTTCTGTGTGTTTTTATTTTTCAACATAGTCTCCTTGTAACTTTCCTTTATGAAGGTAATCGATTAAAATAACTTCAAGACTATCCCAGCAGTTTTTGCTGTTTTTGGAACCCCTCCCCCTATGCTGTTTGGACTGTATTTTTGTTTTGGGTGTATAATGGTGTATCCAAGTTTCATCTACAGTAATTAATCGGCGACAGAACTGAGATTTATTGCCCCTAAACTGCGCGAATAGCGCATTGGAAATGTTCATTAGAGCACGTTTTTGGTCTAAAGTAAGCAAACGCAGCACCCAACCCTACAGCTTCCTTATGCCTAAATGTTGATTTAATATGTGACAAACACGTTCGGCGGTGGTCTAGCACCATTTGGTGAACTTTGGGGATGTTTACATCGGTAGTTGCAGTTTTTGGACGTTCCGAACGTTCATCGTCTCCCAAGCTCTTACGGCCACGTTCAAAAATCCATCTGCCCAAAATTTCACTGTGGTAAATGATGGTGCAGAGACCACACAGTCCACCTCATCGAAGATTTGCGTAGGCGTATTGCCTTTCAAAAACAAATATTCAATGACAGCTCGATACTCGATTTTGTCCATTTTCACATAAACTGACTCAAAGGACTGTTAGATAACAACTGCGCGTCCAAAATGGCTGCAAATTTGGTGAGTAACTGTCAACAGATGAACAACGAAATTCACTAGCTTGCTGCCATCTCACGTTGAGGTAGGAAACTATTCACACCACCCTCTTACTGGTCACTTGTATACTTGCTGGTGGTTAGCCCACACCACGCGTACTTACTGTAAAGCCACAAATGGAGGAATTGCTCAACGACGGATAGTATAGAACCTCCGATACTATTATTCGATAAGATAAACCCACGCCCATGTGATCAGCCTATCTCTTCCGCACGCGTGGCGTCACCCGGTGACAAAATTCCCCAGAAACGGGTAGCAAACGTTTAGTTTTGTATCGCATTTTAATACGTAGTTTGTGATTAGTTTCGTTAGTTTATGTATGGTGAGCTGTGCTGTGGTGCATTGTTCAAGCATCAATAACAAAAAAATATAGAATTTCGTTTTTTCAGTTTTTTAGAAAATAAACAAGTTTCTGAACAATCGGTTCTGAAATGTAAACAGCAACACATATTCGATAATTCCTTATTAAGTGTAATGAACTTAACCATATTTTCGACAATTTCAACGCAGGGTCCTTAAACTAATCAAAAATTATAAAAAATCATTAAAGGGTTTAGTCATGCCAGTATATGTAAGTGCAGATGCCAAGCATCTTTATTTCAGTTGCAAAATGTATTTTAAGATACAATTTTTAAATAGAGATATGAAAAAACAAAAATTGGGAAGAGGAATATGACGAAAACATTAAAAAGTCCCTTTATTTGGAGCTGTGAAGTGATTTTAGTTGGAAAAGCTACAAGTACATTTTCAATGATTAAGTCTCAAATTATTCAGAATTATTCAACTTGTCTATTGCGAGCTAAGAAGTTCAAAACGATAAAGTAGTGAAAGTCGATTAAGCAAAAGAAACGTACTTTCATCCGACATTTTTACTTATAGATTTAACTGACAAAGATAACAATTAGGCAACACTGCAGATCATTTGGAGGGGCCATCACAAAGTACGGAAGGTAAGCAACTGTCAGTTCAAATACAAAAGCACCCACGTTTTCATAAGCAATTTTCTCTCACATAGGTAACTGTGAATAGCAGTTGGAATGAAGATGACGAATAGGAGTGCCTGTGTCTTTCGGCACTTGAGATATTTCTTCTGCTGTGCCTGGTCCATGCTCAAACAAACTGTCAAACGCGTGTAGCTTAGGTTTCCAATGATTTCCCAAGTTTCCGCGCAATTTTCTTGATTTTTCTTTCCATAAGAACCTTCTATACAGCCTTAGGAAACTTAAAAAAAAAGATGAATGCAATCGGTAAAGTTATGCCGTGACCACGCGAAATATGGATTCATTTTATATAATATATATTTACATATATATATATATATATATATATATATAGGAGATAATTAAAGCTTCCCCCTTTTGTTGGGTAAATCGACAAAATTTAAGCAAGGAGGACTCTTTATACTTTTTTATTCTCTCTAGCTTTCAATGGTCTTTGCCATCATCATCAGGAGCTGAAATTACATTGACAACAGTAGCATCAATTTTCATTCCATCATTCTACACGGACACTGCTAACCTTCGGCCATCTGTCAAAAGGTTCATCTTACTCATGATTGCCCACCATTTTGTGCAATCATCAAGTGGCTTCACGATGTAATGCTTAACTTTCGTTTTGAATATTTTTAATCTGTTTTTAATTTAACGTAAACAACATTTAGCAACATCCTCACATACTACTGTAAGTTAATTTAAATTCATTTTACACAATTGATGCTACTGTTATCAATGTAATTGCAGCTCCTGATGATGATGGCAAAGACCACTGAAAGCCAGAGAGAATAAAAAAGTATAAAGACGGAAGGCGTAAGCTTTAATTTTCACCTAACTGTTCTAGTCGACAATGACCACGTCTCAAGTTATATATATAGATGACTTATTCAATTCAAGATAAGGGTAGAAATGACAAAACTGTATTATCAAAATGGGAGCATTGCAAGAGCTACTGCCCGGTTGTCTGATGCGTTACATCCAGACAAAAATATTAACGATAGGTATGTGACTAAGTAGATGAGAGAAACTGGCCGCCGAGATTTCCGGACCTAAGTCTTTTACTTACTTTGTTTGGGGGCATTTGAAAATAAAAGTTTTTAGTACGGAGCCAGGTTTCATTTGATTCAAGATCTTCCTTAACGGTTTACGGCTGAATGTAGGCAAATAACTCAAGGCATGCTTGAAAATGTGAGGAATAGATTCGAACAAAATATTTATTATCGCATGGAGTTAAATGGACACCACTTTCAGTACTTATTACCACATTGACCTACCTCTTAATTTTTTCTTTATCTTTAATGTGCGTGTAGACTGTAAGTTGTTTTATATTTCTTCAAAAGTTGGAGACTTCCTTTTAAATTTAAAGTAAAGTCTTGTTACTGTGGAAGTTAAATGGACACCACTTTCAATACTTATTACCACATTGACCTACCTCTTAATTTTTTCTTTATCTTTAATGTGCGTGTAGACTGTAAGTTGTTTTATGTTTCTTCAAGAGTTGGAGACTTCCTTTTAAATTTAAAGTAAAGTCTTGTTACTGTGGAAAGTATACTGATTATTTTTACGATATAATACCTAATTACAATTTCTAGAATTTTATTATAATCTTCGCAATGATTGAAGATAACTATGAACTTTATTATACAAACTCTACTAAAAATTTCATGGAAAATCTAAAATTTAAAAAAAAATGGGGATTTCCATCAAAAAATCAAAAGTGTAACGCTATAACTTATTTTTGGATCACCCTGTATTGTACGGTTATAGATGAAAAGACGTCCCCCTAGAAATCAAAATTGACGTGTCCGAGCGTTTTTCCCCAAATATACCAGGAGAGCCACAAATGTAAGTGCGACCTTTTTGTTGGACCACCCCGTATATGGAGGTTAATTGTCTGATATGATAATAACAATACATTGTCGCATACTGTGAGTCTAGTCATGGCCTGTTACCACTGCACTGCACTGCGCTATACGATTTATAAAATACTATTCACTAAGTGAATGAAAGACGTTCTTCCACTGTTTACCATCCATTCCTTTATTTAAGTATTAAATCTGGCAGCTGATACATTGTTTCTAAGATTCAAAGGCAGCATATTGTTTAATTTTGCTGCAAGATGAAAAAAGTGCCCCTGTCCTTCGGATTTATTTCATAACATAACAATGTCCTTTATGAGGTGTTTCATAAACATGAGAAATACCTGTACCTTGAAATATAATTTTACCGGCATGGATGTTCTTAAGTAAAATAAAACAGAAGATTTGTCGTACATCAAGAATGGAAGTTTCGGTGTGTAGCAGGCTCGTGGGATATGCTATTTTTTCTCATATACGAGGGCCACGCTATATATTTTGAGTTACACGAAAACTAAAAACTATTTTTCGAAAACTAGTTTATTTAATTCTCTCGAGAAAACTCTTAAATTTGTTTACACCACGTGCACTGTAAGACGCTTGCAAATGAACTGAATGCGCAGACTGCGGACTGTTCTTTCTAATAGTGCACTGTTGCCGGCTTTAACTAGTATAGTTAATACGCATCTCAAAATATACAGCGTGCCCCTCGTATTTAAGGCATATATCTATCTATCAACACCAATCGCCTTCAAAATTAATTTTTATCGTACTGAACGCAGTTGCTCATTCCTTTTATCTCCTAAATGCAGAGTGTCACAGATTATCAGGAACTAATTAGTCTGCCATTAGAAACCAATTCATCTCCATGAATCTCCCGGAGCCTTCTACTGCACAGCATTAACAGAAAATTACGAGGAAACGAAGGAAAACGTTTTTTCGCACTCCATCTACATTTTAGAGCTTCGATTTCCTATAACAATGCCTGCTGCCATTTTACTCAGGTGAATGAGCACTCAGGAAATACAACGTCATTGGATTTTATTTTGTATTCATTTCCATTGTCCACCTTTTCCTAAAAACGTTGGTTGGCATCACAAAAATAAATTGCGACGTCTACCCTGCAACTGGGTTTCTGTTGTTTGTTTTTGACTCGACTTATGTGCGATAAGGATGTCTTAATGCGATGACATTTCGTGATATATACGTATAGCACACTGAGTCGAACAACAGCCCCAGCCTTATACTAAGAATTCGGAATAAACAGATCCTGCCCCTGGCAGAAAATTGTGAATACGTCTTTTGAATAACTGATATATGGAAATTTATTTTTTTCGCGACAATGCAAGCCGACAAAAGCGGTCGAGCTTCTATCATAAGAAAGGAATTTTTTATCTTGTATATCTCGACTTGTGGTTTGTGTAAGGTTTTGGTATTTGATGATGGCTGATTTAGACTAACTAAAATGCAACAGCCTGTTGCTTACCCTTTTAAAATGGTGGTCAACGGAAGTCCAAAACGGTACTTCGCTCTTATTTTTTAAAGTCAGTCAATAGGTGCATAAAAAGTTAATACGGATCATCAATTCGCTTATAACTATATAACTGTCAACTAATTGACGTTTAACCTTATTCTGCTTTCAATTTCAAAAATATTTGCAGGCACAGCCTACTTCTGAAAATTATGGAGATACTGACTTTTTAACGTGATCTAATCATAAATAATTAAAAATGCATCGAACCTTAAAAATCTAAATATCTCATAAACGGCAAACTATAACGAAAATTCACCAGAGAGCTTTTTTATGTTGAAAAGTGCGAAGAATCAGTTTTCTTTATTCTAAAAGCAAAAATTTGCACTAAGAAAAAATTTTCGGTCATTTTAATACACTACAGGTACAGTAGAGAGCGCCCTCTAGCGGCTACAGTAAAACTATGCCCATGGTTCGTTTTGTCGTACTAAAAAACCCTTGTATACTATTTTTCACTATTATACATCAAATATTGTTCAAAATATTTAAAAAAAACTATTTTAGAAAATAAATTTAAACACCCTGTATGTCGGAAGCCACGCATTTTTCGACCCATGTTTATATAGACTTTATGCATTAATTTTAAAAGTTCTATCGAATCTTAAAGGTATGCAACAATAAACTAAAACACCCTGTTATGCATTAACATCATTCTATAAGTATGTCCTACGCTATAAGGTTTCCGTAAAGGATTATCAGCCTGCATGTGCTGCTCTCCAGTATTTGTAAATCAATAAATAATGACAATCGGTCATCTTGCTCACCATTGTGATGTGCGACCCCCAAATCCTGCAACAGTGTGGCAGCCAAGTCAGCCTTCTGTCTCACCGACTCGAACCTAAGCGTATCCAGGGGAACGGTGAGGAATCTGAACTGTTCGGTGACGCACAGGGATCCCAAACTTCTGATGGCAACTTCGTATATGACCTGCAGACTGGCATCGACGTCCTCCTGAAATTTGTATCACATTAAATACTATGCGAGGCATAAATGCTACTTGTCGATACATAACTCTTACAATCTAGGTAGATTTCAGTCTTGAGATCAGTAGAATTGAGAACAAGCTGAAATTGGATAAAAGGTATATTTCAAAACCACGGTATCAAATCAGCATTTCGTAAATTATACTAAGTGACATCTAAGTCCGAACGCCCAGTTCAAATAGTTTTATTTTAATAAAAGTTGGTGAATGTATTTATCTTACTGTAAATAACAAGTGAAAAAATTTTCAGCCTTATCAGTTGGACATTCCGGTTTTTATACTGCTTTTTTTAATTCACTAACGCTCTAAAAATGAATATTTCAGCCGCAGTAAAGAATCAACGTTGGCGGATTTTGGTTCTTGACATCCTTTACGATCGGTTACGATGCCTAGAGTACGGACACCTGTACGATTTCGTCAACTTAGTGAGTTTGATAGGGGCCGTATAGTGGGACTTCGGGAAGCTGGACTTTCTTTTCGGGCAATAGCAGTTAGAGTGCAAAGAAGTGTAGACACTGTGGTTAGGTGTTGTCAGGCATGGCTTCGAGAAGGCCGTACGCAAAGAACAAGGGGCACTGGACGCCGCCGTAGAACAACAGACCGTGAAGATCGCCGCCTAAGATTATTGGCCTTAAGGGACCGTTTCTCCACTACCAGGTCCATTGCAAATGAATGGTTTGCAGAACACGGAAGGCCTATTGGCATGCGAAGTGTTTACCGACGAATAAGAAGTTTTGGCTTGTTTTCATACCGGCCGCACTGGGTCCTCCCTTTAACTCGAGAACACCGACGTAATCGCCTGGAGTGGTGCAGACAACGGTCACTCTGGGATCAGGAATGGAACAGTATTGTCTTTAGTGACGAGTCTCGATTTTGTTTAGGCATGCACGATGGACGTGCCAGGGTTAGAAGGCGACGTGGTGAAAGGAGGAATCCACAGTTTTTTGTTGAAAGACATGTTCATCACACTGTTGGAGTTATGGTTTGGGGTGTTATAGCTTATGGTTCCAGGTCACCTTTAGTCTTCATCAGAGGTAACATGGACGCGCAGCGTTATAGCCACGAAGTTCTAGAACCCCATCTTTTACCCTATCTTGACACCCTGGCAGATCCAACTTTCCAACAAGATAATGCCCGACCACATGTTGCAAGAGTCACAATAGACTTCTTTCAACATGATGATGTCACATTGTTACCATGGCCACCAAGATCTCCCAACTTATCCCCAATTGAGCACGTTTGGGATATGATGGGTAGGAGATTGCTCAATTTGCAACGTCCTCCTCAGACTCTAGAAGCACTTCGAGAGGAGTTGATGGTTGCCTGGAATGAGATACCACAGGAGGACATTGACCACCTGATCAGAAGCATGCCTAGGAGAATGCGTAGCACATCAGGGTGCATCCACACATTATTAAAGGTCAAAGGGCTTTAAAGCAGTGTAATCATTTTGAAATTTTTATCATTTACTTATTATGCTTCATTAAGTACTTATACAAAATTTTATTAAAATAAAAGCATTAAAACGGGGTGTTTGGATTTATATGTCACTTAGTACATTTCTCACAATCGCGGGCCGCACGCAAAATTAAAAATTCCCAAGCGCTCAACCTCAGATTGTACGGCTAGGTGATAGTATCATGCTTCATAGTTTTAACCTTCTAGATGCTGCAACACCTGAAAGGAGCTTTTCAAAATTAAAAGTTACTAAAATATCTTAGAACTAGACTAACAGGTTAAATAAACAAAAATTTGTAAAAATAATGTATACCTTTTTCACGAGCTCGTTTTCTGTTGTGGCATCTGTGTAGGTCAAAATAGCTATGATGAGCATGTGCGTCTTCCATAAAATGATCCCCTCCATTACGCATCCTCATTGGTGCTGGAAAAAAAACACTGCGTCAAATAGGTGTTTTGTTCAAATAAACTGATTAGTTCGTAATGGCTGATTGTAATAGTAGATGGCGTTTCACACTGTCTTATTTCGATGTCTTTTGCGTTCCATATTCATCGACAGAAAACTGAACTTATTTTTCAAGGAAGTAGTCTCAATTTTTGTTTCAATTATACAGGGTGTTTCAGTTTATTGTTGCATAACTTTAAGATTCGATAGAACTTTTAAAATTAATGCATAAAGTCTATATAAACATGGGTCGAAAAATGCGTGGCTTCCGAAATACAGGGTGTTTAAATTTACTTTCTAAAATAGTTTTTTTTTAAATATTTCGAACAATATTTGATGTATAACAGTGAAAATTGGTATACAAGGGTTTTTTGGTACGACAAAACGAACCATGTTTTTACTGTAGCAGCTAGAGGGCGCTCGCTACAGTACCTGTAGTGTATTAAAATGACTGAAAATTTTTGTTTAGAGTAATTTTTTGCTTTTTGAATAAAAAAACTGATTCTTCGCACTTCAACATAAAAAAGCTCTCCTGTGAGTTTTCGTTATAGTTAGCCGTTTTTGAGATATTTCGATTTTTAAGGTTCGATGCATTTTTAATTATTTATGGGAGAATAGTATTTTTTACATTTTCAATTTGGGCATTACAACAATTAAGATGATCGTTTAGATTGTGTTTTTAAACACAGCAATAATTCCTAAATCCAAAAAAAAACGAATATTAATTTGTTTAATTTTCCAATATTATTTTTAACAAATTAAATTATTTATTTACAACTAAAATGCTATTGGATAGTTAGGACAAACATACAAAATCTAAAGTAGTTGCTCGAAATATAGACCCAATTGTTCAATACACAATTCACATCTACGAATGATCGAACGTGGCATGGCATTATTCAAATAAGGCCTTATTTCATCACATGCATTCCTGATTCTGTCTATTAGCATATCTCTTGTGGTTACAGGAGTCTGGTACACTTTTTCTTTTAGAAATCCCCACACAAAGAAATCTAATGGATTTAGGTCAGGCGATCGTGGAGGCCAGGCAACTGGTCCTCCACGGCCGATCCATCTTTCTGGATAATTTTCGTCCAGCCAGTTTCTAACTATTCTCGAATAATGAGCTGGACAACCATCAAGCTGGAACCAGGCCAATCTTCTTAAATCTAACATAACATTATCCCACATATTTGCATGTTCAGCCTTTAAAAATTCCAAGAAGGTTGCAGCATTTAACTTTGCAGGCATAAGGTATGGTCCAAATAGTCGATTACGGTAGATACCAATCCACACGTTCACACTAAATTCATGCTGAAAATTTCTTTCCCGAACTACATGCGGATTTTCATGCGACCAAATATGTTGATTATGAAAATTTACCACTCCACGTCTAGTGAAGCATGACTTATCGGTTCATCAAACGTTACTTAAAAGCTCCCAATTATTATCAGTTCTATCAAGAATCCACTGACAAAATGTGATTCTTCGTTCTCCGTCCTCTGGCTGTAGTCCTTGCACAGGTTGCAAATGGTAAGGACGTCAATGGTCATTTCCAAGAACACGGTGAACATGGCTTGCTGAAATTCCCGAGGCACCAGAAACTCTTCTAACACTTGTGGTCGGATCTCTATCAAACTCACACAGAATCATAAGGGTAAATCTGCGCTAAGAACATTTATGTTTTAATCCCTTCGGAGATTTCCAAAACCACTTTCAATTATTTGGCGATGCACTCTTACAAATACTGAGCGAGTTGGATGTCGTCTGTTTGGAAATCTTCGTGCGTAATCTCTGGCTGCTTCTGCTGCGTTTCCATTTACAAAGCCATACACAAAATGAATATCCGCTAGCTCTTGATAGGAGAATAAAAATGGCATTTTTATAAAACTTACAAAAAAAAAAACAGATGAAAGAAACTAAAATTCGTGCATTCACAATTGCAAAAAAACGTTTCAGGTTTCAACAGACAACAAAACTAACTGTCAACTAATTGACGTTTAACCATATTCTGCTTTCAATTTCAAAAATATTTGCAGGCACAGCCTACTTCTAAAAATTATCGAGATACTGACTTTTTAACGTTATTTTATCATAAATAATTAAAAATGCATCGAACCTTAAAAATCGAAATATCTCACAAACGGCTAACTGTAACGAAAATTCACAAGAGAGCTTTTTTATGTAAAAGTGCGAAGAATCAGTTTTTTCATTCAAATAGCAAAAAATTGCACTAAGAAAAATTTTTCGGTCATTTTAATACACTACAGGTACAGTAGAGAGCGCCCTCTAGCGGCTACAGTAAAACTATGCCCATGGTTCGTTTCGTCGTACCAAAAAACCCTTGTATACCAATTTTCACTGTTATACATCAATTATTGTTCGAAATATTTCAAAAAAACTATTTTAGAAAGTAAATTTAAACACCCTGTATTTCGGAAGCCACGCATTTTTCGACTCATGTTTATATAGACTTTATGCATTAATTTTAAAAGTTCTATCGAATCTTAAAGTTATTCAACGATAAACTGAAACACCCTGTAGATACCATGAACTTAAAAGCTACAGTAGCCTTTTTATAGATTTCCAATTTGGATTAAATGTTCAGCATCTTAGAAGAATTAACATTAACATTTGTGACACGTCATGAAGGTTGAAGTGCGTCACGTGTGAACAGGGAAAAGTCGCAGAGTCGAACGCGCGTTTTTTTGCAGCGCGACAATGTTACGCCCGTGTGTACTAACAATTAACTGTATTTTATCGACGCTCAAATTAGTTTTATATGTTGTCATACTGCTTTTGATCACAACTTTTGTTCAGTATAATGTTGATCCTCCAAGTTACTTTGATACTTTGTTCTGCATCTGTAAATCCACCCTACATTGTATGTACCTATAACGTTACACTATATTGTTCTCAGCGAGGACAGAACTCACATCAAAAGCTGTTCACGTGCATCGTCTGCATGGTAATCTGACTACTTTATCCGTTATATCACGAAACTAACATTGACTTGACCTCAAGTCTCGTAAAATTTATGCGTCTCGGCTATATACTTGAAAGTTTGAAATTCAATATGTTCAACTTTTTACGGGTTCTCCGACCACCGAAGGTTTGGTCAACGCACATAAACTTTGTTCTAGAGCACGAAGCTCAGTTTACTGTACGGGTTTCCAAGACATGTGAGTTTTGTATAAATTTACTGTCTCCTGCCTTGGCGACGGGATACATCCTTCTATTCGAAAGTGCAATATAAAGTTGAAAGTTACAGTCTTGCAGTTTTGACATTTACTTTGTGTAAAATATAAGAAATGTTCTCTTCAACTTTAGAAAAAATAGTATGGTCTCAAAGGTGATGATTTTCCACAAACTCCGGGCACAATCCTAAGACGTATAATTAAGTTTCTTGTGATTGCAAATGATCCCCCATCACCCCCTTTTATTAACTTCATGACCTTTTACGCTATGAATTGTCGCCATTATCGCTTGGCGTGCTAAGAGATTTACTCGTTTATAATGTAATTTATAATATCTTCAAATGAAAAACATTCTAACATCCCTACCGTTAATAACAACCAGGAAAATTACAAATTTTTTGTCGACAATTCAAAACTAATATCAAATGTCAAACAAGAATCCTGGGAACAATTATACTCTATAAATAATATAGACAAAGCAACGGGACTGTTCATAGAGAAAATAAAAAAACTAATAGATATTAGTACCAATAAAGTAATAATTAGTCACAAAGAGAAAAGCAGAAATGCCTGGATTACCAAAGGATTAATAACATCGGCAATAGAAAAAGAAAGACTATATAATGTAATGAAACTAACGCCAACTACAGAGAATACCGACTGTTACAACCAATATAAAAATAAATTTATAGAGCTTGCAAGGCAAACCAAACGAAAACATTACCTAAATAAATTGAATAATAACTTAAATGATCCTAAGCGGCTTTGGACAACTATTGATGAGATTACTGGGAAAACAAAAGTTAAAGAGTGTGTCACTGAGTTAAATACAACATCTGGAACAGTATTAAAAAATACTCAACAGATATGCGATGAATTTGTACAATTCTTTACTGACATAGGCGAAAATTTAGCAAGTAATATCCAAGCAAATGTACAAAATACTCAGCCTCCAAAAAGAACTTTGAACTCATTTATTTTGGATAAAGTCGAACAATGTGAAGTATACACCACTGTTATGTCCTTAAAAAATCGGAAAAGTCCTGGGTTCGATGGTGTTAAAAGCGAGCATTTGAAAATTATAGCCGAGGACATAACAGAACCACTCACTTACCTAATCAACAAATGCTTTGAATCTGGCATATATCCCTCAATTTTAAAAAAAGGTAATATAATACCGATACATAAATCAGGAACAAAAACAGATGTTAACAACTATAGACCAATATCAATAATATCCAGTGTAGCAAAGGTTTTTGAAAAAGTTTTATCTACTAGAATGATTCGATACCTCACAAAATTCAAAATTTTAAGTGAAAATCAATATGGATTTACAGAAGGGAAGGTTACATCGGACGCAATAACTAAAATTGTAAATCAAATATATCAAAATATTGATAACAGAATCCCTTCAATCTGCATTTTTGTTGATTTAAAGAAAGCTTTCGACACAGTTAATCACAAATTATTATTAGAAGCATTGGAGAGAATTGGTTCCAGAGGAAACGCGTACTCACTGATCGAAAGTTATTTGTCAAATCGCCCACAATCTGTGCAGATATCAGGATCATTTAGTAAAGAAATGTATATTAAGTGTGGTGTCCCATAAGGAACTGTCTTAGGTCCGCTGTTATTCAATATATATTTAAATGATATTTTCCAAATTAATTGTGTTGGCAAAATAACTAGTTTTGCAGATGATACTGCAATATTATATGAAGGCACTGACTGGTCTGATCTGAAAAATGTAATTGAAAATGATTTTATCAAAATTATTCGGTG